GTGATTCCTTGATACGCTCGCCGACCTAGTGATTCGATAACCGAACGGTCAGTGCGGCTCGAGTGCATGGGCACGCCGGTGTAAGCGAGAGATCAATTTTTTTCGTGATTGTTTCATTTGCAAGCCTTTGCGATGGTTCCGACTACCGTGAATATGGTTTTTGAGATTGTTGTATTGATGGCAAACGATGTTTTTGCGTGTTCGAGGTGTGTAGAAGAGTGTGACGAGGGTTGTGTTAATGAGAGAATTAAATAGTTTGAAATTAGTGGAGAATGAAAATTTGTGACAGTAAGACAGATAAAATACGGAATGGAGAATGTGGAGGAATTAATATGTATTGTGTAATTCAAGGTTTTTGTGAATTGAATCTTGTTTGTAGGTGAAGTTGGTAAGAGAGGATAATTATTGTTCGATTAAGAATTGAATATTTCGGAATTATACGAGGCCGTCTGCTTAAAAATGCCTTAAAAGTTAATGAGACGTTTGTTGGAAACGTTAAAATTAATAAGTTATTAAGATGCCAGCCTGCGGTAATGCCATCCAATCTGTTACTTCAGGGACTTAATTAAAACACTTTGGATTCGTATTATAAGAAACAATGAACGTAATCCAAAGTTGGATTTTCTTCTGACTGGAAGTAATACAAACTAGAAACTGGAACCGGCAGAGTGAAATATGATTTATAATTGTTATGAATATTTGTGTCTACATTTGAATGTTAATAACAAAATGCTGGTCAATCGAATTATAAACATCAGAAAATAAAATGAAACGAAGCATTTGTTCGAGCGTAATGAAATTGCTATTTTATTATTAAGTTCATAGAATTTTTAATTAGTGAAATATTCGTTTTATACAAATGTCCGGTCTCTGTTAATAAGTCCTTATTACGAAGAAGAATGTTATACTTTGCTTGTGTGACAATTAATCAAGCTTACAGTGCACCGTAATTAATCAAGATTAGAATGTACACAGAGATAATTAATATTTTATCTGATTTATATTTTGGAGTAAAGAATTTTAACATTTTAAACGCATTATTGCTTAATGCAAATTATAAAACGAGGACTGCAGTGGAAATGCAAACTTTCTCTGCCGCTCCTCGTCGCGTTAAAAAATTGAGTAATATCAGCGTGTAACTTGTTGAGCCATTTTTCTTATACTCATTGAAAGTTCTCCGCAAGTTTGCAGCTCCAGAACGTCAAATCGTAAACATCATTATGCAAAAGAAACTTATACTACCGACAAACTTTGCGACTATGCTCCTAATATATAAATATCAGTAAACTGATATATATATATTTACTTAAAACGGAAGTTCGTTTACCTATAATAAATATCCATATTTTAATTTATATTAAAATTTCAGGTAATATTAAAAATATTTCTCCAAACTTAATTTCAGACATTTCTAAATCCTCAACACTAACACAAAAGATATACAAATATAACAAAAACTCCTTAATTCATAAATTTATATGAATAATTGAGTATCTAAAAAACATTCAATTGCTTTCAGAATCAAAATTTAATTTCATTACCATCAAATAGTTAAATCACGTGGAATATTTATTAAGAAAATACGATTTCTATAGAAACTTGCTCCGGTCACTAATGGATCTGTAATACGAGAACTCCTGCTTGTATTTAATTCCTGTTTAATTTGGAACGTATATTTAATTTCAAATAACAGAGACTTAAATTCGAAACCGAAGTATTGAGTGCCTCTTAAGTAAATTATACATCAAATAGCATGGACGAATAATCTATCCCTCGGTTCAATGTTTCCCCGTTGAAAGGGGTGAAATATGAAGTACCTTATAAAACGCTTGTTCTCATTGATTCCGGCACAATGTTTGCTAACAAGGAACGAAATGGAAGACTGGCTCGCATATAAACCCAACTATAATCGTATTATAATATTCAATTTCTCTTCGTACGAACTAAAATAACACCAGAAACAAATAGCAATTTCAACAATTCCAGAAATCATTCGAATAAAATTGAAAATTCTTAACCACTCCTGATTTTAACTAAATACGTCATCAGCTAATTATTAACTAAAACAGCTTCAAGGACCAAACAACAAATACAAAAAACATTATTCAAAATGTTTAAATAAAATTTCACTTAATCACTTAAATAAAATTTAAAACCGAATAAAATATATTCAAGAATACTTATATTCCATCAATTACAAAATACAAATTACACGTATGAAATATGAGAGCGTAAATGTCGTCATCGACATCGTTATCTTCTTCCCCTGTCATCGATACAAAACGTTAACAGTCGTGCCGCGATAATGACAATTCACGGCGTTGCGACACAGCTGTAAATAACAGAATTGGCCAGTAGAATAGTCCGAGATTGGTCGGCCACGGGCTATTGAATTACGAAATAATC